GTATTTGTATCGAGATTTTAGATTTGGGCGGAAACAAGAGGCGCTGTTGGCTTTTTTACAGACGGAGATGATTATAACGTTTGCGTTGAATACTTTGTCTTTGGCTTCGATTGGTCATATACACACACCTTTTCCGTAAAAATAAATACTATTTTGTTAAGCGTCAAGCAGGTATATGGATACTGACACAACGTATGCATCACTGTTGCTAAGTAATTAGTCTCTAGCTGATTTATTCCCTGCCAGTCGAGTATAGTTTGACTATCAATCGAAGAGTAATTCGTCTTGGAAAAATTACATTTTGAATACTTATGACGAAATTATGTCAGACACGTTGTATCAAGCACTATTTATTAAGTTAAAATAAATAAAAAATACAGTTTTTATTATAAATTTATTGAAACATATATGACTAGCCTTCAAAATAATAAAACAGAACTCAATTGTATTTTGTTTCGGATCGAATTGACCCCTTGAGCGCCATAGTGCGGTTTGATCAACAACATCGCTTTGTTATCATTAATTGAAGTGAATTCAATATTCAACGTCAATATAAACTGTACATAAATACAGTCCTATAAATATTACATGAATTCTCTCCTAATTGTAAATACAATAATACCTTTTCCTGCCAACTACATCGGCCTAATTCTTTTCTTGTCTGCTTTCTTCACAGCATCCACGAACAGCATCATTTTACACAAACAGATAAATGATTATAGCACATCATAGTCAAATGAAAAAGAAACCTATGTTAACATAGATTTAAATGACCTCAGAGGTAAAATAATGGAGCAAATAAGCGGATTTATTTTCCAAAATGGTAGGAATTATCATGCGAACCACGTGTCAGCTACATAATACGACGCATAACATATCTGACCGCACTGGTTTACTGCACTTGACAGATAAATACTTTTAATGCCATGACTTTATCAGGGCGTTTTCGTTCTAAAATTCATGAAATTAATAAGAAATATGAAATCGTATTTGTCTATGCGAATTACGGTTACTGGTTACGATAAGCGGTCAAATCAAATTTATTTATCATGAAATCAATCAATTCGTAAGCTGTGCCTGCGAAATAATAATTAACTTATTGTCGATAACAAAAGCTATAAACTGTAAATGAATAAAAATAAATAAGCTCATACAATACCGTTACGGCGTTATGACTTCAACATATAGGAACTTAAACTTTATGTCCTGAAAAGTTAAAAGAACCTTTCGTTTTATTGTGATTAGTCAACATTATCTTTAGTCCAATCAGAGACACACAACATAATCCGTCCTTAAATTTGACCAATCACAAGCAAACGAAACGTGACATCATTTCGTTTTTACATTCCCATATACGTGACATTCTAAATAATTATCGATTATATGAAAATACTATTGCTAGCTTTAAACCATTTACACCGCGACTAAAAAATTGTGTGTTTGTGTCAAACTGCACTAATAACATGTAAATTAGAACGCTAGGTCTAAACTGTGCGGTTTAAATTCCGAATTAGAACCGAATCGATTTGGCCTAATTAAATTAACAAATCACTTCTAAATTGTACCTGGTACGTAAATTAATTGCGTGGTTTAAGCTATGCTGTATAAAATATTTAATTTATCAGGTGATAGAATCAACATTCAATAAAAATAATAAACACATACTCTCTAAATCTATCCAATGTTCAGAATCTGTGAAATTTCCACAATGAACAATAAAAAGGCCTTACAGAATGAGTCGGCATCATTTGATCGGATACTATTATTATTAGTTTTATCATGGAGGCGGTATTATACTTTCTTGTTGTTAGTCACGTTTATGTAAAATTCCAGTGAGTCATCTACTGGAGCCTTTACAGGCTTCGAAGGATGGGAACTCCGGTGAGTCAGCGATATTCCTGAAAAGTGAATGAATTTATTTCATACAATAACTTCAATACTGTACAAAAATGGTTGTAGACAGATCACAGAGACATCCTGTGTTATGTTCAACTGTGGTTTTGGTGACATTAAATTATTGTCTTATTAAAATTATATAATCTTGAATTTATTAAATTGATTATGTAACTTGACGTCCTTTTCAGCAGTCAATAGTCATAGTCAGCAAGAAATAGTTTCGTAAAACGGCAATATGTCATTAAAGTTACATATTGCCACGCGTTTTTGTCTTCTAGGTAGTAAATAACTCTGTAGTAACCTTTACACATTAATGTTTTTTTGATATGTGTTTTGAATCTGTTTAAAGGCAGTTCTATTATTTCACTAGGAATCATGTTATAGCAGCGTATATTTAGGCCCATAAATGAAGTGTTTCAATCAATGTATTACAGTTAAACTATCATGCCTTACGGAAGCAACTAATACACTCGTTGCCTGTTTACTTAGTACCTTTTTTACTGAGAAAAGTAATCATCCTCCAGCCCCAAAAACCATACTATTATAGAGCAATTACCTATAGCTAGTAGGCCCTTTAAAAAGGTAAATACTTTTCCCATAATTTTCTCTCGTACCAGCATATTTCTCTCGAAATTCAATACGCGCTACTTTTAGTGAAATAACCATTAACATACAAACTGGGCTTAGGTGTCATAACATTATTATACCGTATTTAACAATGACAGTAAGTATTCACTAATCACGATAAAAACACTCAAATAACTTGTCAAAATTCTTGAGCGTCCCGAGTCCTGACAATGACGCTTCATTAAACAACGTAAAGTTTCAAATATTCAAAAATATTCAGAAAACAATTCAATTTCACGCTGAGCCTTAATTATTATCATTGGAATTTTTTAGACCCTTGACACACGATTCTTGAATTCTTAAATGGTTCTAACATCGATGCGTAAGAAACCTGAGTGCCATATTTGTTATATTGACATTCAGAAAGATATGTCACTGCATTTCCATCATTTAACACAAAATAAATTCCTATTACGATATACACATATGTTCTGAAAGTTTATTGGGTGAAAATTACTTTGCTCGGTAAATGTTTAATCAGTTAAAGCAGCCTCCCAAGTTCTAGGCCTAATAGATTTAGATAACAAAAAGGAATACAGTAACTCTTTCGAAAGGTTTCGTTTATATTACTACTCTCTTTCGAAACACAAAGTTTCTATTACCGTATGTATGCAAGCATTTTAATATTTCTCTATAGTCTCCGTGTGCGAAAGAGCTTTTTCCCTCCCACAACGTGTCTAATAACTGAACATCGAAACAAAAGCCTCCTAAAAGTTTAGGAGCTAATATAAATTAGGGAAAACGAATTATTGTTGCTAAGAAAACAATTTCAGTCTAGTGATGCGCGAGAGCCTTTTAATTAAAATTCAACTTCTACAAAGTTGAAAACAAAATATTTTTTTACTATGGTTTGCTTGCGACTCTGCTTACTTATTTTTCTGAATGTGTATTTACGTAATTCACGAAATATCTAAACCTAAATCAATAATTCGCAAAAGTTTGTTGTTGGTTTCTACATTTTATCCGCGAGCATGAATTAGGACTTAGTAATAGTCGTAATTTTAATCAATGACCTTTCACTGATGAAGTTTATCTATAGGTACGTGTAATAATAATAATAATCATGAACAGTGCGCTGGTAAATTCTGATTTCAGCTGCATTTTCGTCAGATATGCAGGCTATATTCGGATATCAGGTTTTCATCCCGATGCATTAAAATCTGATAGATACATAGATGGCTGATTGCTAACATAGAAGGAAAAATACATTAGAGCAGAGCTTGGTTGAAACGCACAACCTCATGGTGGAACATTTCATTACCGCCAGTCTAACAATAATGATAATAACCAGAATAAGTCTACTCAAAAATAATAGCTGAATTAGCCAAATGGTCAGCGGAATTTCGTCAGAGGAGAGAAAAAACCTTATCTTCGAATCCTTGCTTAGCATGTAAATGGACAACCGTTTTACCATTTTCAAGTATCGAACATTAAGATCCCACCCCTAAAGCACTGATATTCAAATGACATTTTATCTGGCGACTCACGTCAGCTTTCATCGTATTTACATTTTCATTGCGTAGCATCGCTTCCACTTAATTTACTCGGAGCGGTTATACTAATTGACTATTAACACCATTAAGCACTTTTTTAAAGTAAATTGCTTAATATTTCCTAGCTTACTTGACCCTCCTGGTTATTGGCAATATACCCACCATTGCGTGGTCCAGAGTCAGACTCAGAGAAACATACAAAGAAGCAAAAGACACGACCTATCTACTTGGTTGGTAATTAAAATAATAATTTAAATAAAATCGGGCCTATTAAATCTGTCTATTTGAACTGTCGTTTATAAAGACTAGGAGAGAACCTAAATACAATAATTATTATTATTATGCATCTGCCGCAGAGCCGCAAGAGCAGTGTTGGCCTAGTGGCTTCAGCGTGCGACTGTCATCACTGAGGTCGTAGGTTCCCCCGGCTGTGCACCAATGGACTTTCTTTCTATGCGCGCATTTAACATTCGCCTGAACGGTGACGGAAAACATCGTGAGGAAACCGGCATGTCTTAGAACCAAAAAGTCGACGGCGTGTGTCCGACACAGGAGGCTGATCACCTACTCGCCTATTAGATTGACAAATGATCATGAAACAAATACAGAGATCTGAGGCCCAGACCTAAAAAGGTTGTAGCGCCACTGATGTATTATTTACTATATATTATTTATATAAAATATAATTACAGGGCATACATTTTTTTCCCAAATATCAAATTAAATTAAGGTTTTAAGTTTAACGAACGCCAACCTATTGAATGCTAAAAATATTCGACACATTCATATGTATGCTACTATGTCAAGTGACTTCAAGTTCCATTTCTTTTTCGTTACCGTTTTTTGAATACCACACATACGTTGCCAAACGTAATTAATATGTAACAAATTTTCTCTTTTATGTTGTACGAAACAACTCAGCGAATAGCGAAATATAAATCTAAGCTTAATTGGCAATAAACATTTAGCGGTATTCCAATGAATCTACTCGTTCATCACCGGAACTCGTAGGGCGTTACCGCATCCGTGTCGGATTCGGGGCCCAGAAGAATTAAATGGAGCCCATAATGGGTATTGAATAAAATCTTCTGCATCGGTCCAGCAGTTTGTAAGATTTTTATCATCCCAATTTAATCGTTCTGTTCCGCGATAACATGTAATTACTAATTAATTAAATAACAACCAATAACTTATAACATATCTAAAATGAATTTAATAACATAATAATGATAATAGGCCTTTCATCCATATCTTATTAACATACAATAGAAAAAAATATACAGATGTATAGAATTTTATTACACTAAGATTTTCTCTAACTTTTTCCACCTATTTTATTTTTGCCAATCGTCATACAATTTTTTTTCAGCTACCTTTTCGATCTCGTCGACCCATCGCTTTATTGGTCTGCCCTTCTTTCATTTTCATTTTGGCCCAGTTCATACCGTTTTTGACCATCTGACATCTGTATAACAACATAACAACTATAATAAAATTAACACGAATAATTATTAATACTCTCCACAATAAACTAAGCTGACAAATTCCATTTAGTAAGTATGATGGGCCCATCATGTCTAGTCAAACCACATACAAACGATTTCATTCCGTTTAATTACGTTGTCACCTCTTTATTCCGAAGCCCCAAACACGGGCCCCATTTGCCTCAATTGCATCCCTGTAAACATGTATATGCGAATTATTTCAGCCAATGTACTGAGTGTAATTAAGTCAGCCATAATTGATTACGAATTGAATTAAGCTATTGAAAAGCGATTTTTGCCGCACATTCATGAACTAGTTTACCGGCTTTCTATTCATTTAATATTTTTATGCTGCAGTATGAAATAAAGCGTATTCATTTGTTTATGTTCACCAGGAGGTTTTCTTATTTCAATATAACCTGCCAATACAAGAAAACGATTATAAATCTTATAAAAGTATACATGTTCGTTCGTATATTGATATAGAAATTGTTCTTCTTCTGTGATAGAACACTTATTGGATCAGGTATATAATGAAGTTTGCATTTGTTTTTATTGCCTACTAACGACTGGTTCGGATCTACCAGCAGGATTTTTTTTTATAATTAGGAAATATTGCTATTATAGTATAGTGAGTTTTTTCACTATAAGCAGACAAAAAGTTCTCTTCTTCTTAATTATATTAGTAAATATAGCGGACATAAAATAAACTGAATTAAAAGATAATCATAATATTTCTTTTGCTAGGGAAACATTTTGAATTCAATAGCAGTTGTTTGTAAGTTAAAATCAACAGAAGATATTCGAATATTTGAATCTTCAAGCTATTAATATTTGATATTCAGTTATCCAACAAACTACCGGAAATGGAACTGCGTGCACCGTTTCCGCCACTGCCCGGCTATATCCGGTCAATGAGGCTTTATGTTGCGCGCTTCCGGGGTGGACGTCTTCCACATTCAAATAAATAGTTCATATTCGTCCTAAAAGCTATAATTGATAAACGATTTCTAAAACGTTTTTAAAAAAAGAACTTAATTCAATAAAAATTTTATCTAACAAACTTTCAGTTTCTTTCAGATATTCCAACACTGTCACTTTTGCAAATTATTAAATATGTGCCAAAGCAAAACGTAATTTAATTTGTAGTCCATACATTTAAGGACCTATTCATTTATATTCTAAAGTCTCTGAAGCATAAATATTTGTGCATCTCTAGCGATCTTTTGAGGCAGTTCACTCTGTCGGAAACATGTTGCATTCACCAATATAAACTGAATCAAGAGTTCTTAGGGTAAGATTAAGAGATAAACCTATAGAGTCGTAAGAACTTACGGTTAATTGGTTAAGATTAAGTTCAGTATGGGTCCAATCGAAAGTTAAAAAAACTTTCCTACTCTCCGATACGTCCTTAATTTAATCGTTAACCAAATGTATATGAAATTTCGTAGCTAATTCGCATCGTTATTCAGTAAATTTAAAAAATATTGTGTAATAAAAGATTAAGTCATCCAGCGTACTTTTTCATCATTTACTTCGTCTGAACGTTTTCAAACACTTAAGAACACACTCGGTCTGAGATGAACAAGCTAAGAAACTCAGAGGCAACTCATATTTCCCGGATGAAAGAATTCTTTTTTAATACACGGCAATTTCATTAATTCAAGAGTTTTATTTAATTATTAACACTGTTGACTATAGCAAATAACATTCAAAAATACATCCTCAGCAATTACTCAGAATCTGGATTAATAATTTTTGTATTACAACACGAATTTATCAGCAGAAAATCCTACGTCTTTAGCAACCATTTTTATGGTCAGATTGTCTTCTGACATCTGTTCTGTAGTTATACGGAAGTAGGTGATCAACCTTCTTCATGCCCGGTTTCCTCACGATGTTTTCCATCACCGTACCAGCGAGTGTTATATGCTCACTTAGACAAGAACTCCATTGGTGCACAGCCGGGGATAGAACCTACGAACCCAGCACTGGTTCTGACATAGGCCTACTGTTTTTGCCCATTCTATTCTATCCCGGGCTACCTTCAATTGCATTGGTCAGTATCTAGGTGTGTAATGGGTTCAAAGTAATCCTGCTTTCTTCCTATATAATAAATGAACCAGCAACAGCAATAATTTTAAGACGCACCTCAAGGAAAAGAACTTCGTAAATATTAAACCTTGGAAATTAACATAATAGAAAACTTTCAAGAGTTCCGTTAGGTTTGACAACGTGAGTTACTTCTATTGGCTGTGAAAAGTTTCAAAGGTCACATCTCATTACAAAACCCTTTTGCCAGAAATTTTTTGTTTATAGGACTTCCGCTTTTAGGGACAAACAAATTGGTTTTATAACTAAAGTCGGAAAATTTACCTCTTGACTTTTCGAGATCCGAGTAGCAGTTTTACAAATGAATTGAAACATTTTATTTACAAAACTCCTGAGATCTGAGCAACGGGTGGAGGATTTATTAACTGCGTAAGAGTGAATGTGTAAGTGGTTTTTTAGTCTCCATCCTTAACATCCTTAAATTTTCTCTATTTACGTTTTTCAGAATCATTAACTACGTATAACAAAACAGACATTTCACATTCGTCATGTACACATATACACACGCAATAATTCCAATTATTTTCTAAAAAGCGTTTATAATATTTGGGACATCCAATGACCTTGTCTGCATTTTCAGTGCTTCTACAACATCGAAGTGCAGGTGTATATATATACGTAAATAAAATAACATTTGGTTATACGTACATACTTATGTCTGTTTTCATGTTTTAATAGAATAAAAGTATTTATATTCAATACTAGCTGACCTGACAAACTTCGTTCCACCTAACAGTCAATGAATATCGTGTTACTGAATTTAAACTTAATTTATGATTTTTTGAAAGTAATACATTGAATACAAAAAAAAATATTATATTCACTACTATCTCCGACATGCAATACTTAACGTTCCAATGTGCCTTGATTTGTTGTAGATATACTTACGTATTTTCCGTAAACCATACAGAATAAATTTCTAAACGCATGCATAAATATTTGATAACCAACATATGTCTCAATCCTTTTTCATTAATAACATTATTGTACATTTTTAAAATCTAAAATAAACCCGTATCCGATAATTGTTGATCTCGTTGAGATTGTGAATCTCGTTGATTCGACCTTTAATTAAATACGTTCGACCGTTCGAGAGTTTACGTATCGACGAAGAAATTAATCGTTACACTTTACGAAACCCATGAACATTTTTATTGGATTTTTTCTTTATAGTTTTTGTTAATTTTGCCATGTTTTTATTCTACTACTCGAAAAAGAGACAAATACAAAATCAAAAATAATAATTAATAAATAACAAATCGAAAATCATAAAAATCGATTATAAAATTTTCTTAATCAAGTGACATCTATTAGTAAATTTACAAGTTAACCTAGACGTATTGATCAGTAACGACTATCAATACACAAGATTGACGTCGTTTTATATTATGTCAACAGATGGCGTTGCTAACAATTTATTCATGGCACTCATGTTTTATGGCACATGGCATAAATATAGTTTTGTTCTAGTAATTTTACAACTAATATTCCGGACTGAAAAATATACAATACATTAACTACTTTATGACCAAATCAAGCCTGATGAAGGTTTTTTCAGACATAGATTAAAAGTCTTGGTTTACTTTTTTATCGATCTATTAAAAGTTTTAACGCTTTTTCGAATATTTTTCAGTACATTATTATAGAAAATTAAAATTGATGAATCTGTATACCCTAAAATTGTTGATGATATTATGTATTCTGAAAATACAGCACCGCTTTCGTATTAACAAAAATACAACAAAAAAATGCATTTAAATGCGCCCGTTCATAATTTATTAGCAACTTTGGGTTGGAGAACAAACAAGAAAATACGATTTTGGCAGGAGTGTTACCATGAGTTTCTTATCATATACATTTTATACTTTTCAAACGGAATTAATTCCTATAATAATACGTTATAATGGTATCTCATTTATGAATTCTATTAGGCCTCCAATGGAGTATGAGGCACACTACTATTGTTCATTAATCAATTTCTTCCGCGCCCAACACGCGGCGATATTTTTGTTTACCCCATGTTCATTACGCGCATAGAAAACTAGAAAGTTTCAAGAGCAACCCAGCTGAGGACAACGACAAGGTTGATACAAAATTCAATCGCACTCCTTACGTCACTTTCTCTACAATCTAGCCATTGTAGCCCTATGTAGCCCATAATTTTTGCATCAGTTTCACATGATTCCTACAAAAAAAGGAAATAATATAGCAACTTTGAAGTCGTTTATTCGAAGCTTGGCTGTACCAATGAATCTATATCTGTGTGCAAAATTGATACTTCCTAATTACGTAACGGAAAATATTACGAGAAAACCAGCAAGTCAGGTAAGATCCAAATTTTTTTTTTAATATTCTGATGAGCCCGCGTTCATCCTAATTATCACTAGCCTCCCAACTATCATTTTCTGAATACATTGTAACTTCAAATTAAGTCCCACGTGTAATTTCGTATGTATTGTTAACTTTTGAAAATCATGTTATGATTGTAGGAAAATGCGTTAGATGCAATGCAATCTAAACGTGGTCCTTCAATTTTAAATTATTGCTACTAAATTTCGCCTCCTAGCAAAACACTATTGCTTATATGGGTTGAGGCCTTTGTCTAAATATTATCATTGACAAGCAAATTTATTTATTATTATCAAAACAAATTGCTACCAAAGTTTGATAATACTACTAAGTAATTCTAAGATCAAAGATAAAATACCAATCAACACTAGCAGAAGTTATTATTAGTTACAGATAGTTCTCATAGATAACTCACAAATTACACGCCGTATCTGTAATCTTTGCCTCATGTTAATATTAATAATATTGGTATTGGCGGTCACGGTCCTCTGCTTACCTGTATATTATTAATATTTACTTT